TCGGATCATCCCGGTAACTTACCGGATGGTCCTGGGCTCTGCCGGGAGTAAGTGAGACCGAGGCTTTAAACAAGTGACTTGGGACTACAGCATACCTATCTTACTCAGCTGAGAAAAATCTTCAAAGAATTATATGGTTATATATGGATAGGTTATATACTTTTAAGTTAGCAAAGGGTCATCTCGGGTATCTCAAAGGGGTATTATGTTAAGTAATGATTGTAACGGATTGATAAACCTTAAAAGTGATTTTAGATAATATACAGAATAAAAATCAAGAAAGCTATTTATGTTTATCAAAGTGGGTTATATTATGGACCTCATATAAGATTAAGATATATTTGAGCCCCGTCACGATAAAAGCAACATAATGGGTTTGCGACCAGCATGGATCCAGACCAGCCTGGGCATCTGTTCGCTATCAGTGTTATATGGTTTGTAAGTGACCAGTAAAAGCCCAGGCCACATACAAAAATAGTAGTCTATGGCTTGATTATGAGCTGACAGATAGGGGAATTTTGTAAAGGGTGGCTTAGCCTGTCTGTTGTGATTACATGTCTAAAAAGTTCAACATGCTATATTTTAGCCACCATAGAATTTTTTATCTAGAAAAATATCTAGTTATTTTTATTTGTACAAAAATATAGAAATAGTACAATATACAATGTATAATTAGTAAAATGTTCACTATACATGTACAAATAATGAAACTATTAACAAATGTCGGTACAGCTGCGGTACAGTATTTAGATGGTCACGGGTTCGAGTACATGTCAGGGTGCACTTTTTTCTCACCCTGTGACTGACAAACATTTGTATAGCCCAGCTAGAAATTAATTCACAATGCTAAGTAAGCATGGGAAATTCGAAACAATATTTTCATACACAGTAGGTTTATAACTATTCAGTATTTAAACAAGTAAAACGTGTAAGCGGCCGAATAGCTCAGAGGAACTCAAGAGCCGCGGAATCGTATTCCGAGTGTCAGGGGTTCGAGTGCCTGCCAGGCTGTTACATATCAATATAAATCCGTCAAGAAAAATAGGAAGGAACTGTCTAAAATAATTATCACCCTAAATAGTATTCGGATAGGGTTCGGACAGTCTTTGATGAAAAGTCAGAAGATGAACTTGTAAAGGGGGTGGGGTGCTAGTCTGATCACATCATTTGATGTCTGACGAACCTCGTATCTAATGTATATTTGTACGCATATAAACATCTGTTTGCTGAATTGAATATCAAAAATGTTGCAATTAATTAGTAATTATATCTTATGCGTATGTAAAATAGGATTAAAACTAATTGATCTTCGGCTTTAAGCATGTAGAAATCTGACCAGTATTTTAATGTAAATATCACAATAATACTTCTTTATATAATATTTCTATTCTTTGACAGGGACACAGAACATCTCTTACATGTTTAAGAAACAACAAATTTACAAAATATATCTATCGAAGAAATTCTTTTACTTCTCAAGAGTAACAGACGCAAAACACAGTACTTAAGCGCTTAGACGATCGCAGACGCACGCTAAACGTTTCTGGGAATAAGAAACGCACGCTTTCAGACGCACGATAAACGATACACGGAAAACGATAAACGTTAAACGCTTGTAAACGATGCACGCTTGAGAAAGCGTTTCAGCAAACGCACGTTGCACGCTATACGCACGCACGTTACACGAAAAACGGACGCACGAAAAACGCTATTTTTGACAACCGAAACGTTCACCCTACTGTATTTACAAAGGCATAAGTTATTCAATATATTGTAGAGACGAATGTATATGTCAAGATACTGAAATACATCTTAAAACAACTCTGCCAGTTTGTTTGCTATAATACACATACTTATATATTTCAGGAAAGTCGGACAATGCATATACAATCGGTGTATTTCATTTTTTTATTATCAAGTTTGCCATTATTTATTAAGATATCGTCATGAAACATATATCATATTGTAGGGACATCTGGAAACTTAAAGTCAACTAAAGGCAACACTAATATATTTGTCCGTTTAAGCGTGATATTGTCCAGAAATACATTCATAACGAGGGGGGGGGGGGGGGGGCACTCGCGCGGCTAATAAAGAAAAACAGTGTTTTTCTTGATATTCAATTCTTACAAAGGACGTTAGTTACTATGTTTCTGTTGCGGAAACAACTCTGTCCGTTTGCCTGCTAAAATAGCCCCACTAACATACATAAATTTTAGAAAAGTCGGACAATTCAGACAAATCCGTGTATTTCATAATTTTCAATAATCAAGTTTGACTTTATTTGTTAAGATGTCTTTTTGAAACACATTCCATATTGTAGGGACACATGTATTCTTTAAGATAAATAAACGCGATTATAAATATATTTGTCCGTTGTTCTATGCTATACCTCAGAAATGCAGGGATTATTCGGACAATACAAGCAAATCGGTGTTTATCATAATTTTTAATTTTTATGTGTTGATTTATTCACAACAGTATCTTCATTAAACATAAATCCTATTGTAGGGAAACATTACGATACATGAATGCATTCCTATATATATCTGTCAGTTTTTCTATGATAGTGAATAGAAATACATTGTTAAATAAAATAATAATAATAATAATTTTATAATTTGTTGATAAATATAAATTGATTTTTTGCAGCCACATATGAGATATTGATAGAATATAAATATTATAAAAGAAGCTTCGCAAACATTTGTTCATAAGAATGGAATAATAACAACAACCACAACAACAACAACAACAACAACAACAATAATAATAATAATAATAATAATAAAAATAATAAAATAATAATAATAATAATAATAATAATTATTATAATCATAATAATCATAATTATAATAATTGTAATACAAAAAATAAATATAATCAATAATAATAATAATAATAATAATAATAATAATAATAAAGTAATAATAATAAGAATAATCATCGTCATCATCATCATCCCTGTCACAACAGCACTACAACCATCAATATAATAATAATAATGATAATAATAATAATAATAATAATAATAGTAATAATAATAATAATAATAATGATTATCATTATATATGATTATAATAATAATAATAATAATAATAATAATAATAATAATAATAATAATAATAATAATAATAATAATAATAATAATAATTATATATGATAATAATAATAATAATAATAATAATAATAATAATAATGATATTAATAATAATAATAATAATAATAATAATAATAATAATAATAATAATAATAATAATAATCATCATAATAATAATAATTAATATAATGAAATGATAAAAATAATCATAAGAATCATAACATAGTAATAATAATAATAACAATAATAGAAATAAAAATAATCATAAAAACAATAATAAATAATAAAAAAATATATATTCATAATAATAATAATAAAAACAATAATAAATAATAAAAAATATATATTCATAATAATAATAATAATAATAATAATAATAATAATAATAATAATAATAATAATAATAATAATAATAATAATCATAATAATCATAATTATAATAATTGTAATACTGAAAATAAAAATAATCAATATAATAAATAATAATAATAATAATAATAATAATAATAATATCAATAATCATTATAATAATAATAATGAATAAAAGTAATGATTATATAAATTATAATCGCATCATGGAATTTTATTCTTCTTCCTTGTTTTCATTATTATTATTATTATTATTATTATTATTATCATCATAGTCATAAATAATTCGCAATCTCTTATTAAAAGGAAATCAAATGGATAACTGTGAAATAATTTGAAAATGAATCATTTGATGAAAATCCAGTTGGATTTTTTTTCCAATAACTTTTATTGGAAAAAAATCCAGTTGGAATTTTTTTCCAACAAAAATAATTGGAAATAAATCCAATCGGATTTTCATTTTTTTCAAAGCACCTTATTGGTAATTCAGCGTGTATAATTATGTTAATTTAATTTCGAAAACTATCATTTGCCTTTAATTATTATCGCTTTTATACTTATTAAAATTTTTCTGTAAAAATCCAGTCGGAATTTTTTCCAGCTTTCAAAATGGGATTTTTTTATTTTAGAGAATAAGTTCTTCAAAACTAGTCAGAAAGTCATTAAAGGATGTATGAATGGTTATTTTTATAGTTTAAGCGTTGGCTGGAAAAATTGAAATTCCCGTTGGAATAAATAATAATGTTGGAAAAAATTCCAATTGGAATATAAGTAAATTCCGGCCGGACAGCATAATTCCGGGCGGAATACATGAATTTCCGCCCGGACAAATTTTTTGAAATACAATTTTTGATAAGAAAAAAAATTAAAATAGCTTCAAATGAAGTCAATTATTTATAATTAACATTAAATCTATCGTATGAAATGATTTTTAAGTGTTTAGGGCAAGTATAAATGGTAGTGAAGTTTGCCACTATCCCGGTGGTGCAAAGATTTTCCGGTGGCTGTTATGTGTAAATTGCTTCCTTTAGGTTATTTTACAATACAACGTATTCAAATACATTTTCATGAAAATTAGCATGAATCTGGAGGCGTGCTTCTCGGAAGGAAAATACAATTATGGATAATTGTTTACTTAAATGATACCAGTAAAAGAATCGAGTTATTATCAAGATATATGAAAACTTGACAAAGTGTAATATAAATAACTTTAAAAATGATTAAAAGGTTCTCTTCTGATAACAACAGGACTAGAAAAACCAATATCCGCTTGGTATAATTTCTGTAATAGCAATTAATCATTTAGTGTCCTTGTTTTAAAAGTTTACATTAATGTGAGCGAATGGCGTACACATCTTTTTCAGTCAAATATGGGGCTTATTTATATTCAGATACATTTTGTTTATCTAAATTATTGTCAAAAATATAAAAAAATGTTTTACTCTTACGACAGGTCGAAGTATTACAAATTGCAATTTTCATCGGATCCCCGTCGCATGCATTACCCTGGGGAGAAGGCCTCGGGTTTGTGCAAGTTCGTGATTGAGAACGTATACCGCCGTCACAGGAAGCGCTACAGCTTGTCCAACTTCCCCATGCTGTCCAACCTCCATCTGTCAAAGAGGTAAACGCCTCATTAAAGTATCACGGACATCTGAACTTTTCTTATGAATGTGCTAAATGTTTCTTTACTAATTTTCGTGGAAAGCAACATCTGTCATGACACACATTTTCATTTCAAGTTCATGTCCAAGATAAAACTTACTAGCACAAGCTTTAACCATACACACTCTATCATCCATTGTGTCCCCAAAACAGTGGTCTCCAAATCTAGAAGGATATGGATTGGTACAGTTACGATGTCTTCTTTGTATACCAATATCACATGTAACAGAACAAGCACCCCAATTTGTCCATTTTGTCCAACCGCCGTGTACTAACAGAAAAAAAAATAAAATTCGTTCTGAATTACTTGAAACCGACAAAGATGTTTATTCAGATCTTCGAATTAACAAGGGTTTTCTATTTCAATAGTTAGACCAAAATGCAACTAATCAAGGTATTGGTTATCCAGCACAGTAAACGAAAGCTAAAATAGTATAATGTACCGAATATTAGGTTTGTTGAGACTCGCATTGAAGCGAAATGATATCAAATGAAACTAAAAAAAAATATAACAAGCAAAGGAATCGGAATATATGAGTTAATTTAATTAGAAAGTAGTAAAGTAATCTTATTAATTTGAATTAAAACATTTATTTACTTGGACATAACTGCTTAACACATGGTTTAGTATCGGTGCTATTTCCAATACAGTCCAGGCCTTTGTTAGCAGGAGCTGGGTTGGTGCAAGTTCGTTTTCTTGTCTGTATTCCGTTTTCACACGTAACGTCACATTCAGACCATGGTGACCACTCAGCCCAGTTACCATCAACTTTGCAAACCAAAACAATATCTTAGATAGCTAATTAAGTGCTGTTTCTGTCAATGCTGTTGTTACAGAAAACAGTAATTAAGATTGTAATGGAAAAGTCGGTGATGTACAATGTATCTATTGGAAATTCAAATTTGTAAAAACTTGAATAAACAAATAAATTTATTCTGTTCTTTACATTTTGTAAGTCGAGTCAATGACCCTATCCATTCAAATAGTGAAGATGTTTAGATATATCTTAGTGTGGACAGTAGCACATAAAAAACAAAGAAACCGCTGCCATCACATACCTAGCGTACAGAGACCGCAAAACTTGGGACACACATTTTTTGAGTGATTGACGTCTTTACATATATCAAACATGGCATTCATATACGCACAGTCAACTTTCACATCGTCTATGCACGTTGTAGCTGCAAGCATAAATAATTCTGAATTTAAAAGATGGGATGCAAACTATTAGAAATAATCGGCATGTAACTTATTGAATGGGTTCTGCATGTTAAGCAAACGTGTCTTGAAAAATATCTGCATAATGTCGTTTTACAAAATATATGTATGCATAAATCATGTTTTGTTTGTTTGTTTGTTTCATTTTACAAACATTATTTCAGTCATATAGGCGGGTAGTTTCCTAACCATCGTTCCTGGAGAGTTACACCAGTACTAGACTACCTTCCTCAGTGCTAAACTAACAAAGCATCTCCCGGGGATTGAACCCAAGCCAGATGGGTAACTGGATTAGAAGTCATCGACTCTAACCCCTCGACCACGGAGGCAGTCTATAAATATTGTATGTAGCAGGTGCCGCATAATAAAAAATGAAGATTTTCTACAAAATGTGTTCGTTTTGTCTATCTCTTCTTACAACAGGATATAAATTGGCACATACGTTTGTTGTGAAGACAAAGTTGATTATTGCATCTCTCAGTACTACAGCATTCGTGGCAATTAGTATCACGTGCGCTTATATCACGGCCGACAAGCCCTGCAGCTGAATGCGTTCTACACAACTGTAAATGTCGTGAAGCCAAATAAGATGGTTCAGAATATAAATATGAAGATGCAACATATGCTGTAAGTAATAATAATAACTGCTATATGTTGCGGTCCGGATCGGAATATCTGTTCCTCAGGGACCCGCCCAATGTTGCGGTTCGGATCGGAATGCCCGCGTGTTTCCGAGGTACGGATATTCCTATCCAAACCGCAAACATGTGTCAGATATTTTTTCTTGCATATTCTAACATATTCCATTATTTTTTTAAATTCTTTACCTTAATACATGTAATAAAAACAATTTTCCATGGAAATTTATGTCATTTTTAACCCATACTATTTTCTTACAACAGCGTAAGAAATTACAGCCTAAGCATGCCATTGTACAGCACGCGAAAATTTCCGGCATTGGTAAAAATTACGGAAACGCCATTCTGATATGCAACAAACATTTTTCTTCATTTTTTTACATTGCCTGTTCATTAACACAAGTGTATAAAGACATGTTTTTGTTTTGACACGAGTATTTGGTATATAAAAAAAACTAGGTGGAAATAAAATATATAAACCGTTATATCAAATGACTGTGACATTTTTTTCACAAATCAGTTCATCATTTATCATAACAAAACGTTTTTATCGATGCCATTATCTGAAGTTAATTTTTACAAAATAGGTAAGCATGATATTTTGACATTTAGACAAAAAAGTTACAAATCGATGTGAATGCAAACAGTATGGAACAAAGTTTATATAAGTAATGAGGCTGTTTAACGAATACTGATGAATGTAGATAATTTTACAAGTTAAAGACATTCTTATACAAACTTTTAACTCTTGTGTTTTTGTACTAACTGACATGATAGAAAATCGTAAACCAACACAGATTTTCAATACATGTTTTGCTTCAACAAATTCCTTAAGTTGATATGATACATAAGAAAGGGAAAATCAAACCGACGTTATATTTGCACAAGAATTACACACAAATGAAAAACAGCTACATATTTTCTCTCGTGCATCCAATTCCAGGTTTTGAAATCTTTTAACAAGGCTGTTACACAAAAATGGAGTTCTTATGATAACTTGTTCAGGAGTTCTTGTGATAACTGTCACATTTTTGAAAGATGAAAATCATTATATGATAATTTTTGACGATTGTTTATGTAGTATAAACAGATATTTTCCGACGAACTCCGTAACAGTTATCACAAGAACTCCTCAACAAGTTATAATAAGAACTCCATCCTTCGTGTAACAGTTTATCCCCCGTGTGTTTATAAGTTTTAAAACAAAATCTGATTTTTTAGCAATCCATGAATAAATGAATATAACAACATGATATAACGAATTTAAAACAAATATTCTTTGTGTGTACTCAAAAGATTTTTATTTTACATGCTAAAAGAAACTGAATAGCAGAATAATTAATCTTTAAGACGGAAACGCCATATTATGTTTGTTTAACGAAACTAATATTTATTGACGTTTTTGAAATATTTTTCTAAAAGCAATTAAGTCTAAAATATAGAACAACACAAAATTCTTTTACCTGATTGTCAACACAACCTAATGTATACGTTGTCGTCTGTGCTGATGTGACAGCATTTGTCAGGCATGACTGAATAAAAGAGAAGACGTACATGAGAAACGTATCGTTACAAACATCAAATGTCTGCACATATTTGTTAATGCTTCATGAAACAATACAATAATAATGAAATACTTTGTCTGTGAAAATTGTAATATACAAAAATTCAAAACAGAACCATTGCGATAATGATTAATTAATTAGTGTGACCTGACATAACTTCAGAAGTTTTAGTCTAATATTTGCTGTGGAAATAATTTCTACATTGATATTATAATCAATTGTTATCAACATTAAACGAATCTTGCCACTATGTATTCATAAAACAATCAGAAATAATGTGTTTTTTTCACCAAGGACCCTTTTAGACAAAATCCGATTAATTTTGATGTTTTGTATGGAACTAGAAACTAATTTATTACCTCTTTGTAGCTGCAGAATGTAGTATGGAGGCAGCTTTTAATGTCCGTCACATTTGAGCAAGAGTAACATTCTAATGAATCTGATATAAATAATGATCATATGATTTAGGAAATTTTTCTTTCATGCATTGTCCCCAAATTAATTTTCGACTAAAATCTAAATTGAGTGCAACTTAAATTTGTTTTTTATTTGTGAAAAACGTTGAGTTAGATTATGTTTATTAATATTAAACATACTTTTTTATGTATCTGTACTAGAAGTATTTAAAGGTATTGTTTAATTACAAAAGATAACGCATACCTATTCTGCCTGGAACCAACACCAAAAGCAGCAGTGCAAACATCTTGCCTACCTGAAATTAATGTATAAATGAAATTCAATACTTTTTCAATTTTTTTTTATCTTATAAAGCGTTAATTTCTCGTTTCTGTTTTCTTCTTATTAATTAAGTTTTTATTTAATCAAACAGTTATCAACTTACCCACTCGCTATATGAAAAAAGTTGACTAGTTCACAGTAAAGTTCACAGTATCTCCTAAATGTTTCAACTGAGCTAGCCGTGTCACCGGCCATGTATTTATATCAAACTTGCCCATGCGATAATGACTGTCTTAAATCTATACCACCCATTGTTTCGTTTGACATTAGAACATTTTGAAATAATTAAATGGGTCATTTGAATGTATCTCTTGGTGGTAGGTCATTGTCTGCCCCAAATACAATCTCATTTTAGTCTTTGAAAGAAGTGTTATAAAGGGCATTATGACAACCTTAGAGATTGAGTGTTTGATGAAAAGTTATTCCTTTCTTTTTTATAATTATATATATGGTGCTGGGGCTTTAAAAAAGAAGTGTATATTGTTAGTTATAAAGATTTGTGACAGTAATATTGCCCTATATAAGCGGATGTTTACAAATATAAGCCGAGCCTCTTAGCGAAAGTTATATTGCAAACAAACATTGGTATTACAAGTTATATTTTCTTATGGTCGTTTTTATCAAGCACAAAAATCGCTTGCTAATCAAGCTGTAAAAGCTTTTTTTTTAAAATGCATTACAAACGTATTTGATAAAGTTAATTTTGAGATACCAGATAAATTAATAATAGTAATTATAATTGTTTGATACCATGATATTACCTATATTAAATTATGGATCAGATTATGGACGCTACATAAAGCCCCTGACATTGAAAGAGTGCATTTGGAATTTTTGAAATAGTTGTTAGGTGTAAGGCAACAAACTGTAAATAAAAAAGTGTGAAGATTTCCATTAATTGTATATAGAAAGATAAGGATATTGAAATTTTGGTACAGAATTCTTAAGAGTAAGGACAAACTTTTATTTTTTTTTATAGAGTTTAGAGTATGAGAAATAATAATGACCTTTTATTAAACAAGTGGTACAGTTATGTACGGGATTTGTTGAATGAGTTAGGTTTTCCGTTTTTATGGCATGAATAAAGTATTACAAATGAGCAACTAAATATTTTAAAGGATTGGGAGGGGAGAACAACACATCAAAACACCAGGTCGGTTTCTATATTTATTTAAACTACCGATTTCGGGTACAAATAGAACGAGTCAAACATCAATACTTACAACATGACTAAGTGCAATTAACAATTTATCTAAATCAGAAACATATTGCATATTTAAAAATAAACATGTTGCGGAAAAATATTTGTTCTTTGTTAGTTATTTAAATAATCGCACTACTTTATTTGATTTAGATGTTTTGCTAGTAAATTACTGATAGGAAGGTAGACGCAGAGATATTCCAAAACCTGAATGAATTTGTTAACGTTGTAACATAAATGTAGTTGAAAATGAGTATCATTTTCTATTAGCGTGTCCCTCTTATAGAAAAATAAGATATCGTTGCTTTCCTAATTATTACTGTTCCTTGCCTAGTATCCAGAAATTTGAAATATTATTACATCAAGCCAAAAAAGTATTAAAATTAAACTGGCAAAGTATTTATACCTGGCGACATGTAAACGAGATATGTATAATCAATAAATCTGACTATTACTATTTCTTTACACTTTTCTTTATAATAATATTGTTTTGTGTTTGTCTATTTGGGTTATTCTCATTGTTCCCAAATGTATTTCATTTTGATGTTTGTTTGTTTAATTTCTTGTCATATTGCATGCACATAATGTCATATGTATAACATTGAACATATTGTATATTTATGCTGAATAAACTCTTGAAACTATAAATCTTAATTTTTGCCAAGTTATATGGCCCTATATAAACGCTTGTTTGGAAATAGGCGAGGGTTATATTGCGAACAACGGTCTATATAAGGTCATATAACCTGTCAAGAATCTTTAAAACGTATCTATAATTTATCAAACTTCCTTTCTTGGAGAAAAACAACAACTTACTGCATAATTTCACAACAGTCGTGTGTAAAATTTGAATTCAATGAATTAAACATGTATTGTAGTGCCTTTTAAATGTTTCATTGATGCGTATAATAATGTTTCATTTTAATACTGCCCCTTTATGACGTCGCTTTGCATTGGGTAACCGTTAATATTAGATTATCGCAGACATTTTTTTACCATTTTAATTTGAAAGAAAAATGTTTTTTTAAAAAAAAGATCAAATTCAAATCTTATTTGTTATTGTGAATTACTTTCGTTCTGAATTATAAGAATACTTTAAATATACAACGAATTTCATTGTTATAATAATTCGTTTAACTTTCTGTAAAACGCGAAAAATAAAGTTTGTTTGGTGGCTAATTTCGGCAATTTTGTTATTTTCTTTTGCCGCCGCTGAAGAGGTGACCACTCGAAAAAGCGACAGAACGAAAAAAATTTGTTTTTTGTTTTGTCGCGGTCTTTGTTTTCGTTCTGTCGTATTTACGTGTCAGTTGCTTCAACTGCGACAACATGAAACGACGAAAAAGAAATGAGAGCGCAGATATGGTATTTGTCATGCAACAATGTGATGATACCGTTTTGTCGCCATATTTGGCGTATTGCCGTATTTTATCGTTCTGTCTGTTTTTCGTGATGTCGCCCTTTAAACGAAATAACGAAATGGCAGAAATCAGCCGCCATAGGTTGTTATCAAGAGAAATAACTGCGGTAAAATACAGAATTATCATGACATTGATTTATATGTAAATAATCCGGCTAATTCCGGACCATTCCTCGGAGAGGAGTATTTTAGTTATTTATTTTGAATAAACTGTCGACAATTCAGGTATAATTTACATCCATTTGTGGTGACATTTTATCATTTTTATCAAGCAATGTTACACATGTACACCGATTGGAAATTAATATTAACTTGTTTCACAACATGTTCATCCTTTCTCTCTATTCAACTAAGTACCATTGATGCGGTCATAACATTAACAGCAGCTCTTTTTTTATCTTCAATGTACTTTAGTAGGAAGTTCATTGACATGACCCACACTTTTGTTATACTTTTAAACTATGTTAGTTTATTTCATTGAGATAAGATATTGGAATTCTTTGAAAACCGTCTATATTTGTAAGCTTCAAGATAACCTCATAAACTACATTTTTGTCTCTCCTTATAACACTGACATATAGCTAAAACCATTATACATGTAATATCATGGCTCTATACTCGCAAGATATAAAACCATAAAACTATGCAAATGTATACATATATTTTCTTGCATATTTCGTGAATCTACACTACTACAATAGTATTGACTTTGTTCTGAGAATTAGGACTGTTTGCAATTTAATGTTACTTCTGGCAGTCTTAGAAGTTTATAATATTTTGGCAATGCAATAACAGTGAATAATAGCAATTCATATTTTAACGCCAAAACAAAAGTGACAAACACATTCAAAAATCAAACATTGATAATATAATAATGCTGTCCTGTCACATTTATGAAATTTATTTTTGTTTTGATTGACATGTATTTTAACCTTTCACACCAGTACAAAGTGGTATATTATAATGTTAAATCGTTGAACTCTTATAATGTGTAATATTTTGGAATTTCTTTTTATAAAAGAAAACATTCCTGTGTAGGAACGATTCATATATGATTAAGTTTAATTTCAATCTGGACTTCAAGCACGTGGTATTACCATTTGTCAATTTTTCTTATCGTCTAATAAAGTATGTCGAGCCAACCTATTTTGCACACTGGGACCATGTGTAAAATTCGTGACACAGAAACAAAACCGGTTTTGTTTCAAATGAAAGTAGAGCGTATGGAATATGAATGATAAGATTTTTTATGAAGGACATCCTTTGACATTGCAGTACTTATGAATAAAACTAACAAAATATAAAGTCGAAAGTGTCTTTGATATTTTTTTCCAACTAGATATAAGTGTCATATTTGTATCTCTATAAAACGTTCTGAGACTCATTGTTTTTCCAATTGAAACATTAATGTTACTTGACAGATTTTTAAAGACAAAATGTCAGTGGGGATCAAATCTCACCTGAAATTTGGATTTTTATTATATTATTAATGTAAATTCTTTGCCATTTAATAATTGCTGACAAAGCTCTATTATACAGGCATTTAAGAGTACGAATTATTATAAAGTGTTTGTGTTCCAAAAGATATAATTTCTTCCCGATTTTACTTATTTAAAGTAACATTTGTTTAAGTCACTAAAAGAAATAAAACAAGTTCGAAACATCCGTTATTTTAAATTCATAACAGACATTTCTCTTCCAGTTTAAAGTGATTTCTATGTGAATTCCGCTTCCTTTAACTTACGCATATATATGTAAATATATGTCCTTAACAGGGAATCTCTTACTAACTTTATTTGCAGAAAAGCAGTAACCTCGATATTATTCAATCAACCTTACAAAGTAACATTTGAACACGTGGCTGTCAAATGGAAATGATATAATCATATAGATATTTTAGTCAATCTTTTATATTTGACAGCTGACTACTTTTTTGAGTTGTTATAAACATGTTTATTCATTAAATTGTAGAGCACTCATGTATTCCCATTATCTTAATTTTAAGTGTAAAACTTAATCAAAATTCATATCAATTTGAACTATGTTTGAGTTAGACCACAATAATCAATTTAATGATTATTCTAAACGTATATATACTTACATTTGGTAATATATTTGACTTCAACAATAAGTTTGCTTGCCTTATCTATCACTCTACAGATTCCAATTTCTTTAATTTTATTGGCTGGAATATTTCATATATAATGCCCGTTTAAATATATTTTTTCGAGAATATAAACATTTACATATACAATGCAAATCAAACATTTTATATTCAAGAAAAGAATTAGAACAGACGACAAACAAATTCTTCTCATGCTTTCTCAAGAAACTCTTTCTTTTATGAAAGCAATGTATTTCTAAACATCAATTAAATTATACGCTTAATGTTTAGTCATGAAAAAGAACAAAATGTGTATAATGTAATATGAACACGCAATTGTACGTAACAACATTTTAAAGTACATGTTTTGTTAAATTAAATAACTAAAAGTAGTTTTTTATTACTCACATAAATATATAATCGGTATGGTTACAACAACAAAATATATACAACAAAATATATAAACATCATACAAGAATTACAAAGTT